CCAGGTTGTAGCTGCCTTCTGCATGTGATCAGCCACACAGTCCATGAGGTAACTTTGGAAAGATCAACAGCTTGCATATAGCTGGCCTATGTAAGGATAGTAGGGGCCTTGGTGTCACACTGGAATGCAGGGCAAATTTTACTTCTTACTAGAAATAGCAAGAGTAATAGAAGGCCAGATCTCAAAGGCAAGGCATGTGCAAGAGGCCCATTGTCTGGAACCTTGATGTAGCTCAGATAAGGTTTTACCAAAGTCATACAAGCCAATGGATCACTTTCTAGGACATTTAGTATTAAACTTTTCCTGACAGTAAAGGCATCAAGGGCCCCAGACCCTTTAAATATTTCCTGTCTGGAAAGAGTAGGGTCTTACATACAGCTGGGAAAATCATCAAAACCAGTTGGGGAAGACAAGGAAAGAAGAAATAGGGTCCACTAATTTCTGGGCACAATAACTGCTCATACCGTTCCTGAAAACCTTGGGATTTCTGAGACCAATCCTGGAGTCATAGGAGTCTTCTTCCCACTCAGTTTTGTGAGCTATATAAGAGGAGTAGCCATAAAATGTACTGACACACATCATCCCCTTCAGCTGCCCATCAAAGCTCTGCCAGARAACAAATGCTTGGTGAAGGTGGGATTCCTCATGGTGACTGCAGAATTGGGGCACACAGCTCCAAGTAACCTGACAAGATGAGGGCAGATGTCAAGTGGTGGGCTTATCCTTAAGGAGGAAATAAAGAGACTTGGCAAATCTGTCCTCCTATTCCTTGTCAAGTAGGACCTCTTTTACATAGAAGATAACGATCTGTTTATCTTCCAGTTAGCAAAAAAGGAAGATCTATCTGCTTTTGGAAATTTCAGTGTTGACACTTATAGTCCTGCAAGTCTTCTAAACTGACAAAAAATGTCTGATTTGAAGTAGATGGTGTCAAAGAGTGATGCTAAAACTATGCCACCACACTTCAAAACCTTGCAAGATAAAAGTCCCTATAAAGTCCCTGTTAAAATATCATATTTAATTTTTTWAAAAAAACAAGGGCATCTTACAGAGTGTTTCAAATGACTGGAGAGGAATTGGAGAGATTAATCACTTTATAAGCACCCATTAATGTGCTTGATGTCTTATCTGACAATCAATTTTTTAAAAGGAATAACAATTTCTGAAACTTAACATTGCTGTGCTTCATCCAGTGACTATTTATTATTCCTTGACTTAACTACTTGCTGATTTATATCCTTAAAGCAAAGTGCTTGCAAATGTTTCTTTTATTTGAGAATTGAGTTGCAGATTTAATATTCTGCAATCAGTTCTTTGAAAGGGAAGATCTAAAAACAAAGAAATGGTATAAGTTTCTAGAAATGATTGTTCTAAGGGTGATGTCTTTGGGTCTAAACTTCTTGCAGATCTCCTTTCACCCCACCTTACCCTGTTATTTATAAGTCCTGCCTGAAATCACTTTTTACTACCTCTCTAATGTGAATAGTCCCAGGGCTTTCCTCTCTCTTTGGCTCTCTTAATATACTTTCTCTGGACTCTTTCCTTGAAGCCATTACTTCAACTGACATCTCTAAATTGAGGACACTAAACCTGCAACTCTACCTCAATGCTATGATTTGGATGTATCTCCCAAAAGTTCTTGTGCTGGGATTTGATCCCTACATGCTTATGTTAATGGTTAGGGAGATGGGGCCCCTGGGGGCTAATTGGGATTAGGTGAGGTCACGGAGGTGRTACTCCCATGAGGCATTTATAGGAAGAAGAGACCTGAGCCAGAATACTTGTTCTATTTCACCATATGCTGCCCTTCATGTTACAATGCAGCTAGAAGGCCCTCACCAGATGCTGAGCAGAGGCTGGGACCTTGTTCTTGTACTTCTCGTACTTCCCAGCTTTCAGATCTATGAGGCCAATAAGCCTCTATTCTGCATAAGAACCGTCTTGAGTATGGTTTTATAGAAACATAAAATGACCAGGATACCCACATTCTTTCTCTAAAACTCTCAATTACCTTCTTGATACCTCGGAAGAGTTTCATAGGCACCTCAAACAAAGGATGAACTGGTCATTATCTGTTCCCTTTTTATCCTTGATTTCAGGATATGGTACCACTGACTGTTGGCTGGCCAGGTCAGCTATGTGTGAACTGCACTTCACTTGCCTGCACAATAGTACTTCTCACAGTCACAGTGAGTGTCTCAGAAGAGGTCCAGACACATACCTTCTTGTGAAGTATGGCCCCTGGCCCTCCTCACATTGGRTAGTGCCCCTAATGCTCTGGTGCTCTTACATTGCTAAAGCACCCTCGGGAYTATGACATCTTAGAGGCCAAAGTGAGCTCCCCAGTCCTCTTTTCTCTCTTCTCTAGATATGAGTTCATGAGGCTGAGCCAAGATGCTTCTACAGACTGTTCCCAGACTACACTCAGGATTATTGCAAACTTAACTGCAAATGTATTTCTTCATTATGCTGGTCCTTCTGAATTCTACAAAAGCTGCTTCTGACTCTCACTTTTGCACACACATCCAGAATACTCAAACCCTGTTGGGACATCTAAGGCTGGAATGTCAGTCATCTATGCAGACAAATGTCGTATGCACCTTGAGGTTCTAGACAACTCCTGAATGTCTTTGTTTACCCTGTGTGGGTTCTGATTTCAGAGGTTATTTACCTGTGCAATAATAGCAGTCATGTATGCCTTCATTTTGAGGAGTGCTCTGGCATGTGCAAAGAGAAGTCAGAAAGAGGCTCCCTTTCCATTAACCATGGGAAGTAAACATGCTGTTTGAGATGTGATTCTTCAGTGGCCTCTGTCTGCTGGAAGAGAGAATTATGAACACTTAATTTGTGTGATGTAGTCTCTGCGTTTCTACTGAACAACAGCTGTCCCCTACCCAWTGAAAATGTAAAGGACATCTACTGTATGTATTGTGTAGAGATCTCACATGGAGTCATTGCTGGATTTCAAACAATTTCCAAGGGATTTGTTTTCTTCAGTGAGCATTTTGCCACTATCATGAAATGTCAGGTCTGCATATCTCATCTGACATTTTTCTATGGAAGTTAAATTAAATTTTGTAGAAATTTATGGCTCATTTCAGACAGAGAGTCTGCCCTTTTGGAGTAACTAGAATGTGTCATCTTCAGTGGCCTAGTTATTTCACAGCTATAYGTAGAAAATTTGACTTAGAAAATTTTCTAATTAAATGACTGAAACAACTGACTAAATAACTAACTAAAATTTGACTTTCCTCTGACAATCTCATTTGGATCACAGTAATTTCAGAAATGATTTTGTTTTGGTTTGGTTTTTTTGACTACTACTTGTATCAAATTTAGGAAGCAATATCAGCTTTYTTCTTATGTTCTATGACTTCCCTGTCTTATCTCAATAATCTCTCTTTCTTTTGACATCTGATTTTATGGCACCGTCTGCCCTGATCTAAACTCTACCTTGTTGGTCATTCTTTATATCTGTGTTTCTGAGGAATCAGGAGAAGGCCTGATAGTAACTGGCCCAGAGAATAGAGATCGGGGAAGAGTGTGTCTGGTGAGTCTGGAGATATTGCAGGGGCCAGATCATGAGAAACTGGTGATCTGGGATGAGAATTTTTGTTTCATCCTAAAAGAAATCAGAAGCTTTTCAAGGGTTTTCCAAGACTGAAATTATAACTGATGTGKTTTTTTTAGAGAAAACACTCCAACTGCAGTTCAAAGAATGAAATTGMGTGGAGCAGGAAGAGATATGAGGGAGTTGTTAGAGGCCAAGTCAGTAGTCAGGGCAAAAGGACAATGGTGACTTTCACAAAGACAGTGATAGCAAAGGTAGTGTCAGGAGAAGAAATGGCTGGAACTTGGAGATTGTTTAGATGAGGGTTCATAGAATTCAGAGATGAATCTAGGGTGACTCCAAGGTGTTTGCAACAGAAGGTATGGTGGTGTAGTTGCCTCTGACAGTCAACATAAGGAGAAGGACTTTTGTGGGAATGAGGCCTCTCTTAGCTTTCTTCTCCCCATTGAGTCTTACCTACCTGGCAAGTTCTAACTGCTGTGTTATCCCCAGACAGTTAAGTGTTGCAGAGGAAGATAATGTAGTAACTGGCTCTACTATACATACATACCTGGTTGTTACTTCCAGTTATTGAATTTTTTTTTTTTTATGAGATGGGCTTTCACTATGTTTTCCAGGTTGGCACCAAACTCCTGGACTCAGGTGATCCCCCTTGCCTCAGGCCCTCATMTAGTTGGGACTTACAGGTGTCTGCCTGGATTACTTGGGATTTTTTTTTCTTACCAATTTCAAGTTCAATCCTATTCTATTTTTTATATTGAGTTATTTAAAATATTTTCATTCTTTCCATTTTTCCAGTCCTATCTTTCTGCCTCAGTTTTAGCCAATTATCTTGTCTCCTAGTTTACTGAAAAAAATATAGAGGCCAAATAATGCAATTTTTTTTTCTCACATTCTCTTACCTCCACTTCAAAGTTTTTCTGAATCTTCAATTGTTCTCTCTTCTGTCTCAGTGGAGAAAAYATCTCAGTCCCTTTCCCATGCTGTCTTTTCCACTTACGTAACTAATATTATTCCAATCCAGGTTTTCTGTCACATTGTTTCATRGATTTCCCTAATCTCTTATCTCATGTTAAGGAAAATAMGGTTTATTTATTTATTTTTTCCTAGATCCAGTAATTATATATCCATTGTAGAAAATTTGGAAGGCACAAAAAGAAACAAAGATGAAAACAAAAATCACCTACAACTTTATGTTAGAGAGAGAGCCCATTTTTAATTAAAAACATCTTTTTCCACTGGTTCTCWTCCCTTTGATTGAAAACATGCTCAGGTCTCCTCTGTTCTAAAGAAGACTCCCTTCAGCCTTGCTTCCCTTTTAAATGATTATGGAGCTCTGTCACAGGCACCCCAGTCTGAGCATTAATGGTGAGCACCTGGGGTGAAAAATGCTGCCCCAAGCTTGAGAAAAACACACAGGAAAACTCACCTCATCACCTACACCTGTACCTGTATTTCCTAGACACGCTCCTACTGCCTCAGTAGCCCAGCTGATTCCTTTGGGATCTTGGATTTTTGCTTCACATATGATTGATGCCTTTCCAATCTGCTGTGTCCTTTCTCCTTTCTGCCCATTTTCATCCATTCTTGTGACTCCATTTAACATTTCTTTGTGGATGCCTTTAAATTGATTTTGCAATCCGAGACCTCWCACTGGAAGCCAAAATAATATTTCCATCTGCCTTCTTGACATCCCAACATGGGTGTCACACAAGGAAACTCAACACATCCCAAATGAACTATTTTTATTTTTTGTCAAATCCATTACCTCTCATGTGCTTCCTACTCCAATGAGCGGGATCATCTTTTTCTCCCAAAGTAAGAAATAAAGAGTCATCTTTGACACTTCACCAAATGCCACTGATTTCATAGCATATTAATTACCTATTTGTGTCATACACATCACTAAGTACATAAGACCCATCTTCCCGATGACTCTTTTTAACTACATGCCATATTATTMTATTTTACAAATAAGAAAACAGAAACTTCACAGCTAAGTGACTGAGGTCAGCATTTGAACTCAAGCCTATTTATTTTCAAAGCTAGTGTCTTCATATATTTTTCCAATGTCTCCTCTCCTCTCTCTTTCCCACTGCTGCTGCTGCTCTAGCTCAGGTCATTATAGAGGAAGCTCGGCTAGTCACTTCCCAGTTACTCAAATCACTTCATTAGCTACACTTTCCAGTTCCCTTTCACAYTAATCACTAGGGCAAGTGGTAGGATGGGCTTTTCTGGATGCATCAATTTAGTGGTTGTACCAAGAAACATTTGTATTTTGTTTATGAATCAGCCTGTGCAGTTGTGCTTTTTATCGTTACAATACTTAATTAAAGATTACATAAACCAATGAATATGAGTGTGAAAGAGAGCTATTCCTGTGAAAAATAAAGTCAAATATTTTGGAAAGAGTCCAAAAGAGTAAGTGGCTGAAAATATTATACTCTAAATAAGTAATGAGAAAGATGAACCAAAATGATTGGGGAAAAATTATAAAAATGTCCTGGGCTGGGGATGTGGCTCAAGCAGTAGCGCGCTCACCTGGCATGTGCGGGGAGCTGGGTTCGATCCTCAGCACCGCATAAAAACAAGATAAAGATGTTGTGTCCACCGAAAACCAATATATATATATATATATAAATTCTCTCTCTCTCTTTAAAAAAAGTCTTAAAGATTTGTACTCTACCTTTCATTTCATTTCAAAGAAACAGAAACAGAAACATGAGCATAGTTTATACAAGAAAAATGGTACTAAACTCCAGTTATATTAAAAAAAGGGAATTAGTACTCTTATCATACAATCAGTGTGTGCCATGTATGTCTTAAGTTAAAATATAATGCCTATTATAAGTGCTTACATTTTTAATCATTGATTGAGTAACCTTTAAAAATGACCAAATTTTAGTTTCTGATTCACTGAATGAGAGACCATCCACTGTACCTCCCATAAGCAGCCCATTTTATGGGACTACTTAGTCTTCTGCCATCATTTTTTCCCTGAGTTAATGAATGTCTTTTGGAGCCAACTGTCCGACCACATTACCAGCATTACTGTATTAAAACTCATATCTATCCCTACCAGTCCTCTGTTCACAAAAACTCAGTTGCTCCTAYTGTGTAGAGAATGAAGCTGAAAGTACTTAGAATGTTAAAGACCTGCATGATCTGACTCCCACCCACAGTTTTACCCTCAGCTCTCACATTACACTAAGAGTACTCCATATTCACTAAACTTCTGTCATCCACACATTGGGTGTTGCCCAAACATACTATGCCCTTTTGCATTCATTCGGAGTGCCTGGGTGAACTCTGTATACATTCTCATAATTATGCTCATTATTGAATCAGTCATTTATGGTGGGAAATATACCACACATAGAAATTGTATCTTACAGAAAATGCTGAAAGCACTTGACTAAATTTAACTGAATAAATTTCAAGTAGTAATGTCAAGAGTCTTGCACAATAYATAGTCTGGAGTCAGCATGAGGGAGAACTGATTTTCTCTATACTTAGATTTTCTCTATACTTAAGATACTTAGTGGTAAAGGAGTAAAAGTCTGCATAAAGAGAAGTACTTGACTGCTGTTATCCAGTTATTCACTCAGGAAGAGTAGATAGCACTAAGTTCCTGGATGACAGTGTACTGCTGTGTGACTGTCCTTAGTCTTCTGTTGGTTTTATTCACATTCTTTCCTTGGAAGGTCTTACACTTGTTAATTGCCTTAGCTTCCACTACTGCRTGGAATTCTTCAGAGGTCCAGAGTGCTTCTGTTTACCATATTCTTCTCTATTTATTTGCTTTTGTMGATTTTCACTTGGCAAAACACCATCTGACATATGGGTTTAAAATTGAACTTCCCCACCAAACTCACTTTCCTCCTCCTTCTGTCTGTGGGACTGCCGTCTCCAAGGTATTGGAATTATTCACAGCTTTTTGGGATCTGTTTTGTTCTTCTTTAGCCCACCACTAATTGCCAGTTATTTCTTCCTATAGATTGAATATTTAAGGGCTTGGAAAACTAAAAGAATTTGCCCCATTACAGTGAAACGTCTGGAAACATTAGTCTATATTCCCTGTGTTCCCTTTGCCTTCTGTTCACTTCTCAACAGAAAGTCATATGGCTTCTGTCCCTCTAATTTTATTGAAGCTGTTCTCATCAAGGCTGCCAATTATTTCCTTAATGCTAAATTGAATAAACCCATCTCACTTGTCAATATAACTTTTGGAAATGTTGATCTTCATAGCAATCCTATTGACATGACATAATTCTTCCCTCATCTTCCATGAACCTCTCAGTCTCCTTCATCACACTATTCTTTATAAGCTCCTTTTTTTTCTGACCTTTAAAAATGCATCTGTTCTTCAGAGTTCTGATTCTTCTTTTCTCCTCCCTCCATACAYCCCTCTGAACGATCCCATCACTTCCTCTGGCCTTCATTACCACCTCCACGTCAATGACTTATGTCTCCAGCCCTGTCTTCCACCTGAGTTCTCAAGATGCTCACATCCAACTGCCTCTGCACATCTCCTCTAGGATATTGCATTGACTCATGGACTTCAAACTTCCTGAAACTGAATTTAAAAATTAAAAATGCYTCTCTTCCTCCTTTCCCTATTTTGGTTAATGGTACTCTCCTGTATCCATTTGTTCAAGCCTGAAACACAGACATCAGTCTTGAGTCCTCTGCTCTTCCAATCAATATCAAACCAACTTTTGAAAGATTTCTTAAATCACCTACTTTCTCCATCCTTCCTGCATCACTGAGGTTGAATCCCTGAAATATTTCCCATAGATTTCTACTACAACTTCTGTATGGGCTCCCTGACTCCAGGCTGGTCCCTCTCCAATCTGTTTTTCCGGGTTGCAGAAAATTACTTCTTTTTAAACATGCAAATTCAATCACATGTCTTCCCAACTTTCCTGCTGATGTCTTCTCTCGGTGTGAATTCTAATCTTTCTCACACGTTTCTGGGGCCTCTGTGATCAGCACATGGCCACTCTTTGCCACTTTGGCACTCTGTGGTGCTTTTTAATGTTGCCATACTGCTCCAACTCTCCACCTGTGTGCTGTGGTCACCTCCACAAATCTGCTTCTCTCTGCTTACCACCTCGACATCCTTCCCCTGAGATTTATTCATTTATCTTACATTTGGAACACTTAAATGATCCAGACATTGTTCCAATTCCTCAAGCCATAACAGGAAGCAAAGTTGGCCCACCACTGAACACTTGAGGCTTGGGGTCTGCTGGTAGACAGACAAGCATACTTAGGCCATTGCCAACCTTTGTGATGAGGAGACACAGCTCCTAGAGCCCAATGAGAATACCTTACTCAAGTGACAGCAGAAGGTTTCCTGAGGGTAGTGTTGTTTAGTGTTAGGTCTGAGACAAAGAGGTACAAGGTAAGTAGCCAATTTAACACCTTCACAATGTAAATCATTCTTTTCACTTCGATATTTTCACTTTCCTTCTCACTGTTTGTAACTYTTGTCCTTCCTATTCCATATCTCCATTTATTAATTAATTTCTTTGGCTGATTCTTATTGTTCCCCTTCCTGGAAGTTAGCTATTTTTTTCCTTCATTGTCAGCAACCATTGTCATATAAGTTCTCCCAGGACTGCAGCAACCCTACCAGTTCCCCTTCTCCAGATCTCTCCTCAAGCTGAAAATGAAGAGATATCCATCTCTGATAACAGCCACATCATCTTTCATCTTTTGGACAAAGTTGTCAACTAGTTTATAGCTAATTAGGGTCATACCCAAATGTTTCTTTTTTTTTTTTTATTCTTCTGTTCAGCACATTTTCCACATGTCCATTTGTCTTTTGTCTACAACGTATTGTCAAAAACCTCTATCTGAGGAATAGACAAGCCATGACATCTTTTCATTATGCAGAACAAAACAAGAYGGGTCAAATTTAAGAAGTCCTCATCATGGCTTTTAGATTACTGTCAAAATCAAGCTCATTGGAATACTATGGTGGTGAGCAAGCTGGGCTTTGTTGAGTTTTAGTCTGAGCCATAACAATATCTCTTATATACGGTAAAAATTAATAATCAATTAATCTTACCCCACAAATATCTCACCATTCTACTTTTAAAGAGACATGTGTTAAAATTTGGTATTCAGAAGTCTGAGGCTGGTGTCTGATAACTTTGAGGCCAGCCTCAACAACTTAGTGAGATCTTTTCCCCTCTTCCCCCCCAAAAGGTGATTGGGGCCTGGTGATGTATGTCAGTGGTAGAATATTCCTGAGTATTGCTGAGTTCAGTCACCAGTACCAAAACAAACAACCAAAAATATTTGGTTCACTTACAACTTGTTATTTTATCTGGCTCTTCCACTMAAGTAGTCCCCATTTTAAAAGGTTTTAATCAATGAGAAATACCCTAAAATACATGTGCAGTCACACAGCCAACATCTTCCCCAGGGCAAAGGAGAATGTGGTCCTAACTGTTATTGGAGAGTGGCTGAAGATGACTCTCCCTCACATGGGAAGGCTCATTATTTTCACTGATCGCTACAGCCTAAAGATTGGACTGCAGTGCTGGTGCTTATAAAGAGAAAGAAGCTAATTAT